GTTGCATGAGAATTGCCTAGATTTAAGACAAATTAAAAAGAAACATCTTATCATAATCTTTCCCATAAAAAAAGTGGGAGAGCGCATTTGTAACACCATTCCATGTTTCTAAGAAGACCCAGTTCTGGAATAGTTTTTTTCTGGATACTTAAAACAATTTTGTGTGGGTTTTTTTTTTTTTTTTTAAAGTAATGCTGCCGTGACTTGAAAGAAGCATGAAGCAATATTGTAGTCAGACAAACTATAGTAAGTTTCCCATTTTGGATGCTGATGGGTGGATTCATACCTTTGAATCCAGAGGGACGCAAACAATACATCATTCTTTGCCAAGCAGCTGGAAAAGTCATTAAATCCCAACAAAGCCTTGGCTAAATAATCATCTATTCCTCTGACTGTCCAATCATGTACTCAGTGAACCATAATTTATCCCTGTTAGGCCCTACGCTCTCTGGGACAGTAATTCTTGGATATCAAATGGTTAGGACATGCTCCATAGCAGCAGAACAGGAACCCCACAAACCAAGCAGGGATCACAGAAGATTTGATGGGCTCAGCTGCCAGTTCAGTGGTTTCACTGCAAGAAAGAGCACTCAGTGCTGCAGTCATTGTAGAATGATCAGCATTGTAGAATGAGCAGCAGCTCTGTCAGTCATCACAGGGTGGAAGAGGGCCACAGAGCAAGGGAATCTTTGCTATAAATACAGAATTTGTAGACCTGATCATCTCTGCTGCTGGCTTAGCCTTTTAGGTAAATGATAAAGTCATATTGTTCAAGGGTTGGCTGACGTTTTGAAGGAATTTACCTCCAGAGCGTTGCTGAAGCAGTAGCTGAATATAGCTCTGATATGTTCACAGTCTTCTGGATGAAGTTACTACCACACACATATAACACCGCTGCAGACCAAAGCTGGCTGAAGAGCTCTGCTTTAAAACACTGCCTCACTTTGTCGGTTTTGCAAGTTTTGTCAGATTAAAATGACAGCTGAGGTTTCTGGGTTTATTATCTGTTACATTTAATGTTTACATATTTATATCATACTTAAATCACTAAGAATTGTGAAGAACATTCCAACAATTACACTAGCACTTCATTTTTCATTTTTTTCTTCTGAGTAGTAGATAGATTGTTTGCTTTTGAAAAAGTGCCCAATTTCATAAGTCTCAAGTCAATACTACATCAAAATTGATTTTTATTTTTTACTTTTTTGTGTGTGTTCTCTTTCAAACTCAGCTGTTCCCAAGTAGAACAAAGATATCATTTTCTACTTTTACTTTGGAAGAAGCCCCCTGGAGTGAGTCTATTAAAAATCACGGGTATTTTTAATTGCTATATTTTTGATGGAATTTTTGAAGTGCAAAAGTCCATGGAGATTGTCATCAATGTAACAAAACTGTCTGAGAAAACTAAGAAGGGAAAGTGTTTCTAAACACTCCAATTGCGAAGTTTTTTTTTTTTTTAATTGCAGTTTATAATTTAACCATCCTCAGATGAGGGAATGCCTAGAGAAGAAACAGAAGCCTAACTGACATTTATTATTTCTTGCTAAATTAATGGTGTTATCAGCCTACCTTGTCATAAAATTTGAGTGTATTTTTGTTACAAACACTCTGCAAAAATGTTACTTTGTCTAGATTCTTTCCACTTCACTCAGTAAAATCATTATCTTGATGGATTTTCAAATAAAGGGAGATGGGAGATATTGGAATCAAAAGTGCAAGAATTGGAAATATTGCAGAAATTTACATTATTGGCTTTATACAAAGCACTTCAATAACAACTGCAGTTTAATAGCAAAATTCTGCCTGTGGAAGTACATAAAGGTGGTATCTATGCTTGTTCAAAAGACAAATTTGAAGCTTGTTTACCTTCTGTGAGGGATATGACATCATCTCTTCTCACCATATATTTTATAATGGTATTTGCATAGCATAACATATGTCCATGGTGATTTATAAACAAGAGATAACTAAAAACCACAGGTAATCAGTACCCAACAGTTACATCATGACTTCAGCAGTTACCTGGAAACCACCCATGAAAACATCTGTGCAGAAGTACAATGAAGAAGTCATGTAAAAATTATATTTCAGTCACCCCTAATTAAATTCTATCAGAGTCTCATCTCTTTTGCAGAATATAATAAAGTGTCAGCAGCCAAAGTGTTATTCTGTTTGACAGAACCTGTTGGTTGGTTTTTTTTTTTTTTTTTTTTTAGTGCATTTGGAAAAAGGCTTAGCCAAAAAAAGGCTTAGATCAGATCAAGTAACTGCAGTTCTTGTGACGTTAAATGAGAACAGAGAAGCGTGCTTGTGCTGCCTGCCCTTCCCTGGGGGTACTGACCATTCCTGCAGAACCTGGACTTCCCAGGAATGGAAGGAAAACAAGCGATGCAAAGCCACACCAACTGCATAGATATCAATTAACCTGTTGTCCTAGGTCTAGCTTTCTGATTACTTCTCCAACACTCCAGTCAGCTAACAAGTGCCAAACACCTTTTCAGACGTGGAGATCCTAGATAGTTTAAGAAAATACTTCTGCCTGTGGATTATTCTGCCACTATATCCTGTTTGTTGCCATAATAATCCTTCCAAATCCAGAGATTCCAGCACATTTTTTAAAAGCTACTGAACATTCCAATAAATGTGAGTGGTTCAAAGTTCTTTGTTTTGTCAGCAATTCAAGTTACTCAAGACCTAATGCCCAGGCCTCGCTGAAGCACAGATCAAATGTGGTTGCAAGCAGAGATGTCTGCAACAGTGAACGCCTGTAGGGCAGGTTCTCCTTTCACGTACTCTGTACTGGTAAGAGTAGGGAGGCTAGGCCACAAAGAAATGGTGGAAATAAGATAATAACATCTGACTTTACACATGTAAATCTCTGTAGGCTGTATTTATGACAAATTACTTCTCCTGAAGTAAACATATTAGAAATCATACTGGGCACAAAATAGCCTGTGTCTACTCCACAAACATAGTCTTCATACTATGAAGCATACGGTGGAGAAGGGAAGAGAAGCTAATTAGCACATCATGAAAGGCTCAAATGCAGCCCACAAAATGAAAGTTAAGTGCATAACCCTGATTAAAGCAGAACAAAATTCAAAGGGCCATTATGCACTTCATACTCCCTTTTCTTAGTTTGTTTGACTATGTCAGTACTCCGGCTTGTGGCAGTATCTGCCATGGGGAAAAGTAACTGTAGTACTGCACTGCTCCCATCTGACACAACAGATGTGACTACAGGTCCTAATCCTACAGAGGGCTGACACTGTGAAAAAGTTGAATCTGGAGAATTTTGTATTTTCTTCTGAGAAATTCAGAAGGGAATTTGCTTAATAGGAATTCAGCAGCACTGTTGTATTGTAGATAGGAGTGCTGAATTAAGACGGGAGGTACAAAATCTGCAACATTAATTTAATTTATAAACTACTTATTAAAGAACAATATAAAATTACAACCAGGATGAGAGACTTCTGTAGGATTTGTAAGACACAGACTTGAGTAAGTTTTGAAGCTATTATTCCCATGTGAATAAAATATGTAAGAATTGCTGTGGAATGAAGGGTCTAAGTTGTATGCTGTTCCTCTGTCTTCACACAGTCTTTCAAATCAACCGCCTTATAAAACCAGCCAGAGAACTGCAAGGACACTTATTATCCAACCTGCTAATGTTGCTACATTTCCAAGTGTTTAAATTTTAAGGCAGTTCAGTGCCCCTCTGTCCAGAAACAGATATTTAACAAAAGCTAAGATTTTAAAGCTCCAAATCCTAGGTTCTAAAAATTGAATTCCCCCTTGACTTATTACATTAGTGGCATATGTGAAAATAGCATTATGAGACAAGAGGGAGGCAAACATCTAGGATTTCTCTTGTGGTCTTTGAGATGTGATGATTTGAAAATATATTTAATTTATGCTGCTCTCTGTTGCCCTTGAGGAATACAGGACACACTGTCTGCATTTTTAGTGCTTTCTTTACTACTCCCATAAGCTTTTGTGCTGCTTTTAGATTGTTCTTGCTGTAGAATATAAGTATGCGTGGCAGAGAATGATGGCCTACACTTGTTTGCCTTCTATGTGTCTGCCTCAGGTACAATTGTTATTACTTATCCACAATACAGAATTTACCATGTAAATTTTGTCAAGACAACAGAAGAATCTTATTATAAAGCTAACAAAACTGTTATATATTCACGTTTAGCTTGCTGCATATGGTTTTACCTCCTTCCTCCCTCCCATCTATAGGTTTTCAGGGTGGTGTTTTTTTTGTTTTTTTTTTTTTTTTGCCCCTGATCCAGGCCTTTCCTTTCCCCTTATTACAAATGCTGGACTCAAACTGGGATGTACAAACCAAGAAACTAAAATGATTAGTCAGTTGTGAACTGACTAATACCTTGATATAGGTACCTTGAAAGGTATTGCCTATGTGCCTATCTACATGCCTCCCTCAAACTGAGGAGGATGCCATTTTCATTGCATGCTCCAATTTATTTTCCTCTTTAGATGAAAAGCAAATGTGATGTGTTCAGAGTAATGACTACCACAGCACCTGCATTCTCACCAATAAAGACCACTGGGTTATGTTACGTAGCTTAGTTATTCTAGGCATACCAGAGGCTTATTGGGTCTGAATGCTGAATAACTGCTTCTCTCCTGCAACTATTACAGCACAAAAGCACCTCAGCAGCTTTTCTTCTTCTGGAGGCAGATCCCTTTCATTTCTACAGAAAATGAAAGTACTTCTCAATTTTGTATAATCGCTCTTGTACCCACGTGAACAGATATAACCCTTTTTCTTTTTTGGCTTACCATTACCACAGTATTACATCTCTGAAATCAGACTAATCAAGCTAATAAGGATTTTGTAGCAAGTACATATATTTTTAAGAATCGTTCTCTGGCTTCATGGCTAAGCAAACTAAATAGATAGCAGTCTGCACAGACCTCACTCACAGCATAAGCACTAAGGCTGTAAAAATGGCTGATGTAGCACAGCAGAACAGGATCTCTAAGGATTTTAGTAGCAATTTCAGTATAATGCCAACAGCATAAAATACAATGTGATTCAGTGTTCCTTCGATAGTGGAAGTGATAATTAATGAAAGCAGTTATTATGGAGGAACACAGCCAGCTTCATTTGCATCAACACTACTCTGCCAAACTCTTTATATTTGCTATAATTCATAATTTCCAGGATATTTTGGAGTCCCTTTGCACAAACACTGTGAAGGACACAAAAATAAAAAAATAATGATTTACAATATTTCTCACAGCCTGAAAAAATGAAGTAAAACCAGTGTGAACCAAGTTTGAATAAAAATAATGAATACTTTCTTAGGCACACCAAGTGTCATATTGAGAAAGAAACAGTGAGAGACCCCTGAAATTTTGTTCTGGTATGATTGTTATGTTCTATTTTGCACAAAAGGACTCAAAATAGTTGATGCTAAAGCTACTGAAGATACATCCAAAACATTTCATCAACTTTCATTTTCTTCGAATTGCATGATCAAAGTTAGTTAAATCATTTAATCCTTCACTTATAAGAAAATGTGTGAAACATTTGCTGGCAGCACATTGAAATCTACAGCTTTCTTTTTATTTTATTCGCTAATATAAGAAAAGATACTGAAGTCTAGTTCAAAAATCAAGTAAGATTAGTTAGCCAGTCCTATTAGCATCAGTGGATTTCTTTTTCCCTCCCCAACAGATTCCTAATATGTAAAAGATTCAAAAACCAATGAGCATGCTTAAGTCTTCTGCATGCATTTTCTTTTCTTTCTCCATCTTCAGTGGTATGTACCAGATGCCCTCCTTCCTCTGAAGTGATCAAATACAAAATGAAGATTTACAATGTTGCCAGAACTAGACAAGCAATTTTTCAAAAGATATAAACAAACTTTGAAGATATTCTCTAAGTACATATGGCAAATCTTCTATTTTGCAATGCACAGAAGATGCACAATGCACAAGGTATACTGACAGAAGTGCTCCTTACAGAACACTTAAAAACACATTTTTAAGCATTACCTAACAATCTCAAATTCTGGTGCTTTTAAAGTTTTTGTTCTAAGCTTCAGCAGCCACTCGAATGGAAAGCAGGCCTGATTTGTTGCTGTTGCAGAAGGAAATCTAGCTTGAGATAAAAGATTTGTCAATTTATATCTTCTCTCCACATACACAGTGAAATGGAGTGATATTGCTATTTATGCATGGAAGTTGGGATTAATCGAAGCGCTCTTTCTTCAGATTTCAGCTTTCTGGATTGCTAATCTGAAATTAATTACCATCTGTACAAGAGTGAAAGGGTTAAGAAATTATTTCCAAACCACATCAAATTAAATATCCTGTGCACATTCTGTTGAATGATACTCCATGAGGTTATGACTGAAAGGAATAGAACACCTTGACCTGGGTATAGAAATTTATCAGCAAGCATGATGAAACGATCATTTAAATGATTATTTTAAGCTTAAGTATGTTACTGTCAGGTAACAGGTACACACTGAGAACTGTTACTCTGACAGAAAGCGGAAGAAAGACAGCAACTAGCATGCATCTATCTAAAATTATCTGCCAGAAAGCTTCATCTAGAAGCAATCTGTCTTATGGTCTCTCATTCTTTTTCCTTGCAGAATCACAGAACCTTAGGGGCTCTAAGGGACCTCTGGAGATCATCTAGTTCAATCCCTCTGTCTAAAGCAGGCTCCTGGAGCAGGCTGCATCCTTAAGAGAATGTTTGGGGTATATCTTCTCCTTATTAAGGCTAGAACAAATAAATTTGCTAAGGCTGAGATACCAAAGCAGACGTAAGTGTTCTTGAAAGGCATAGTAAGTTCATCCGAGCCAACGTCAAATACAGTGTTTTCTCACCAGTTGCATGCCATTTCTTTTCAGATCAACCATCACAAACAGTTTCTGTTTACTATAGAAACCTGAGTAGATTTCAAAAAAATGAACAAAAAGTGATACAAGTACTATGCTGACAGAGAAGAATTTAAAAAATGGAAACACGTGCTTGGGAAGTGACCTTCCACTAGATAGCTGCTATTTTTCCACATGGTTCTTTCTACAGAGGTACATTTACAATCAAAATCCCTTCAGCAGAAGCAGATGAGATTAAGTGCTGACAGGTCAAGATATTATAATAATAATTAATGTTCATGAAGGAAAATTGGAAATCTAATTTCCCTCTTTAACTATATGTTTCTATATTGAGTTGCTATCTAGCTCACAGTTCTAAATAATTTGTAGGATGTCTGCAGTTATTTTTAAAACTGAAGGATTTAAACTTTTTACATTAAGAGAAATATACAATCCCTCCCAATCATCTATGAAATCACTACAAATTGCTAATCCTCTAAAAGCATCCAAGAACAAATTGAAAATCTTAGAGTCAGGGGCACAAAAACCATGAGAAACGTTAGTCCTTTCATTGGAATTTGTACAGAAAAGATTTTTACTGTTATTGTTAAGTGCTGAGTCAAGTGTCTAAGGAGAGTGTGAACAGTAGTCTTGAACGATACTCCATGCAATAAAAACTAGTAAAGAGTTGAGGAAGGAAAATACCTCCCAACATAGCTGAGGTGTTGCATAACCAATGAATATAAAGAGGTTATAATTACGAAACAAACAAGAGAGTTCAGCAAAGCAAGCTATAAAAACAAGAAGAGAATAGATAGACTGCTTACCTGCGCCCTGGGCTTGCTGCAAAACTCCAGAGAAGGAATCTCCAGAAGAGATCCTTCCCTACTGGTAGTCAGCTCTTAAATGGGATCTAAGAGAGGTGGAGCCAGGCTCCACCCCTTCCAGCAGCACAGGCGAATTGCCTTCACCTGTGCTCCCAGGGTTGACTCATTGCTTGCCTCAGGTGATCAATCAGAAGTTTAGGCAGTGATTCAGCAGTTCCCATACAGGTGTATAGTCCTAGCAACAATTACAAAACCTTAATTTTTTAGTTGACTTCACTTTACTATGCAATTTAAATCCCTGTATTTTCTCTTTTTGTTTGGAAAATTAACTGGCTTCACTAGACTGCTTTAAAGACTAGCAAAGATGCATAAAAATTTAGACAACCTTCAAGACTAAAAGCATACGTAGTTAGCAGACAGGATCCAAAAATCACTAGCATCAGTAATGCACGTGGATAATCTTGGATGAAGAGAGAAAGCACAAATGGTGAAGGACTTCTCTTTCACAGACTGCAAATTTGCTACAACACCTGCACTTCCCTCTCCCCCGCTCATAAATATAATGTTCTTCATAGAGATACTCTATCAGTTGGCAAGCCTATCTGTGGCAGGGAGGTGGGAACATAACGATCCACGTCATTCTATGATTCTATACTTTCTTTTCTGGAAAAATAAAAAAGAGTTGTGGAAACTACTAGGGAAAAATGTTACTTTTCAATCACTCAGACATGATTTTAGAAAACAGGGTCAAGTATTGGTGAGGAATTAAGAGATGTAAAAACAACAACCTCCACCAAACAAACCCAAGATTGTTATCTGAATTCTTTTATAACTGCCTGACCTGCATGAATTGAGAATAAGAAAGACTACGTACAAAACACCAGACACAGTATGACTGGTTTATCTGGCTGCCTGTGTTTCATTCCCAGCCCTAGCTCTACCTGGTTGAACTAACTGAGTCCCATGTTGAACTCTCAGACTCTTTTAGGATGCTAGAGGATGTCCATCAATTGAGAATGGAGTGATGAAGAAATGCCAAAAAGAAGAGTTAGAGCTTGGACCTACCCTTCAAAGTTGATTAAACAATTAATTCAGTAATAGCATTTAATGTCTGTCTTCATACAGGCATTTTATCTCTGAGTATCTCATAAAATCAGGCACTTCTTCAGTGTCAGTGCTTTGTCAGCACTCTGCAATCTTCTCCCCTTCAGTCTCAAATCACTTTGAATATTCCCAGGTGAACTTGCCTGATTGGAAGGCCAGGGCATATATACACATCTCAGGCAAACAGACTGCTGGAAAAAGCTAAAGAAGCTACAAAATGCTACAAAAAACAGAATACACATTGAAGTAAGGACATAAGTCAAACCCCTTCACATGTGACTGCAGAATTAAAATACTCAGTTCTGATTTTCCTTCCTTCCCTGCCCCAACAACTGATTTCTTGTACAAAACATCACTGCTTGATAGAAGGCTTCCTTAAAACACCTCAAGCACATTTTTATCAAAACTCTATTGCAAGTTGGTAATAGAAGATTTTTAAACATAAATCTATCACATTTCAAGTGAGCACACAAACCATTGTGCCAGTGGGAGTAAGGAAGATTCAATGCCCACCATCTTATGTTTCACTGGTCACTAGCTACAGAAACAAAGCTTTATATTCTTTATTACATTTAATATATTTATAATGTAATTATTGTATACATTACAAGAAAGCATTTTTTCATGGGCTTTGTGTACACATCAGTTTTGAATCACATTTACTTCATATCAGTGAGCAGAGTACAGTCATCAAAAAACTACATTTGTGTTAAAGGGTTCAAATCTACTATTCCAGAATCCCAAGTATACATACTTCAAACTCTATTCCCTTTATAAAATGTTATTTAAAATCACCAGATTTATCTCATCTACTATTTCATACTGTGAACATGGCTAGGTTATTTTAATCTGCCTTTCTAGTTCTTCTCTGGTATGGCTGTGAAGAATATCAGTCAGAATTAGTGGGCACACAACAGTATCTGACTGCAACAGGCTCATTTCTACTGAAGTCAGGTAGTTTTAGTAAGAGAAGAGGCAAGTCTACATGTTGTAAACTTGACTGCACACATCCTTTGTCAAATAAACACATCTTTCTACGTTTATGTTACTTCTCTTTGTAGTATTTCAAAAGACCTCCTCGATTTCACACATTAAAAGGAAGAAATAACACATACAACCTGAAAGAGAATTTCAAATGACTTTGCAGTACAGAAAAAAAGAAAAAAAAGAAAAGCAAAGACTGCTTCCCTACACCAAATTTGCTTTGACAATAAGTTGGTGAATTCTGCAAGCTGCTGCTTTACCTTAGCACCAGAAATAATGACAAGAATGTTTATGAATCTTTAACTCTTTGCAATCTTATTCCTATGTGCAAACAGGCTTAAAAACTTAATATGCTTAATACTGCTCTGTCTTCTTGCAAAAAGGCATGTAAAAGCAATGGAGCAATACATCCAGATGTTCCAATCAGTGTTTTCAATTTACTTCTGTTCATAAACCAAGTGTGAGTTGGAGTTGACTCACACATCACTATATGAGACCTTTTCTTGCTTTTACATATGACCTATTCTATGCAGATTTGCATCACATAAAGAATATCTTGCCAAGACGGTTACTCAGAACATCAAAAATTCAAAATCAGTAATTTGGGCCTTTTTTTTGGTTTTCTTTTTACATACAGTGAGTACTGAGAAAGCAATGTAACCAGGCTTTTAGAGTAGCATGCAGAGTAGCATGTTTAGAGTAGCATTTTAGAGTAGCATGTTTTTATTCTAGCAAATTGCCCTTTTTTTCTCCACTGAGAATTCTGCCTAATTCTGTTTACTGTCCTGCATTTGGACTGCTGTAAGAGCAGAGCATGTCTGAGACCACCTCATGAGACTGAATGTATACAAGTCTATGGGGCCACGTGAGATACATCCCAGGGTTCTAAAGGAGCTGGCTGATCTGGTTGCTGAGCCACTCTCCATCATATTTAAAAAGTCATGGCTTTGGGTGAAATCCCCAGGGACTGAGAAAAAGGAAACATTGCTCCCATGTACTAGAAAGGAAGGAAGGAGGACCCAGGGAACTACAGACTGGTGAACTTCACCTCTGTGCCTGTGAAGATCATGGAAAAGATCATCCTAGAAGACATGTTAAGGCACATGAGGGATGAGCGGGTGATCTGAGACAGCTAGCATGGCTTTAACAAGGGAAGGTTGTGCCTAATCAATCTGGTGGCCTTCTAAGATGGAGCGACGACATCGGTGGACAAAGGGAAGGTGACCGATGTCACCTACCTGGAGTTAAGCAAAGCCTTTGATGTGGTCCCCCACCACATCCTTTTCTCTAAATTGGAGAGACACGAATTTGAGGGGTGGATAATTTGGTGGATAAGGAACTGGTTGGAAGGCTGTAGTCAGAGCATTGTGTTGAATGGCACTATGTTCAGTTGGAGGCCAGTGATGAGTGATATCCCACAGGGGTCTGTCTTGGGACCTATGCTCTTCAAAATCTTCATCAATGATATCGATGACAGGCTTGACTGCACCCTCAGCAAATTTGCTGATGACACCAAGATGAGTTGTGCAGTGGACATGTTAGAAGGAAGGTCAACCAGAGGGACCTCAACAAACTTGAAAGGTGGGCCTGTGTGAACCTAATGAGGTTCAAGATAGCAAAGTGCAGGGTGTTGTGCTTGCATCAGAGTAATCCCAGATACATATACAGACTGGGGGAAGAAGAAAAGAAATTGAGAAAGACCTGGGGGTCCTGGTGGGTGAAAAACTGAACATGAGCCACCAGTGTGCTCTTGCAGATTGGAAAGCAAATGGTATCCTGGGCTCCATCACAAGAGAGGTGGCCAGCAGGGACAGGGAGGTGATTGTCCCTCTCTAATCTGCCCTCGTGAGGTCCCATCTAGAGTAATGCACCCAGGCCTGGGGCACCCAATACAGCAACAATGTGGAGCTGCTAGAAGGGGCCCAGAGGAGGGCCACAAAGATAAACAGAGGGCTGGAACACCTCTTCTACAGAGACAGTTTGAGGAGCTGGGCTTGCTCTGCCTGGGGATGAGAAGGCTGCAAGGAGACCTCATTGCTGCCTTCCAGTATTTAAAAGATTATAACTGGAGGGGAATCAATTTTTAAGAAGGGTAGACAGTGATAGGACAAGTGGAAGTAGTTTTAAGCTCAAGGAGGGAAAATTTAGATTGGATGATTTGCAAGATTTTTACAGAGAAAATGGTGAGGTGCTGGAACAGGCTGCCCAGAGAGGCTGCCAATGCTCCATCCCTGGAGGTGTTCAAGATCAGGTTGAATGGGGCCCTGGGCAACCTGGTCTAGTACCGGCACTGGAAGTTGGTGAACCTGTCTGTAGCAGGGGTGTTGGAACTTGATGATGCTTGGGGTCCCTTCCAACCCAAGACATTCTATGATTCAAGGACTCAAGGACTCAAGACCAGCAGCGAAGCAGTGGCTGAAAGTAGGAGGTGAAAAGCTCGAAGTAATAACTTTGTACAGAATTTGCCTTTTCTTGATCTTGACAGCATCTTGACTCATTTGAGAATGAATCCATCCTCTCATTAAAGTTAAGTTTAGAGATGCTCTGGGAAGGTACATTTTCACAAGACATTTCTGACTAACTGACATTAACCTAATTCCTCAAATTCTTGATGAGCTTTCATAGTTGCACTCCAACTTCTGACCAACATTGTTAACTGTCTGCATTTTGCTGTCTGCAAATATGTTGCTTCTTTGGTGGGCACTGATGTAGCAGGGAAAGGGAGTGAGGGGGAGAGCAGAGTCTGCAATATGTACTACTGGCATTTAAAAGCAACTCCCAAACCAGAAAAACAAAGGGGATGGAACTGCATCCAGGCCATCTGGGGATCAGAGAGAAAACAAATTCATTGTGTGAGAAAAAATAATTTTCAGAAGCAGTTCTGTGTGTTAGAATCAAAGGGACTGGTAAACTAAAGCCATTCCATGGTGATTAAATATATTT